ACTGGTTGAGGTGACCAGCATCATCTCTCATATTTCATAGGCCACAGCAAGTCACATGGCCATGCCTACCTTAAAGCAGGTGGTGCGGTGCCATCCCCTTTGCACTGAGAAATAGAGGGGAGCCACCTATTAGTGAGCAAGTTTTCAGTCAATGTTTATCAGCATGTGGCTCCCAGATAAACACACAAAATCAATGCTCAGATTACAAGGAAGATGGAGCAGCAGGAAATGTCCGTAGGGTAGGCAACCAACATTTTCTGCCACCACAAATGATGGGAAAAAAATAAACATGATAATAACAGCCCGCATTTATTGAGAGTTCACAAAATGCCAGGCTCTGTGCTTTGTATGCATTTCTCATTTAATCTCACAAGGAGATTAAATTTTTTATTTTACAGAAAAGAAAAGTGAAGAATAGAGAAGTAGAATACATTTCTGGGCCTAAGAGCTAGTACCTACTGGAGCTAGGACAAGAACCTAGGCAATCTGATAAATACCCCTCTTAGAACTGCTCCCCTAGTCTGCTGCCCTTACTGTGCTTTGCTCCAGAATTGCACACGATTCAGAGTTTAGAGCACTTTATCTCTGGATATTGCAGGTTTTACGACAGTATTCATCAGTGGATCTTGAGTGCAAAATAGAATTTGACCCTGATGGTTTAGCTATAACTGGAAAAAACAATTTCCACAAAATTCTCTAATAAAGCCTGTTGCCAAGATCATTGAGAACAGCATGTGCTTTTCCAGATTACAGCGATAAGAAGAGCCATGTTGCTGAGAGCTGCAAGTCCTAACAGGGCTGCATGTCTCCAGGAGAGGGATATTTCCGCTGGCCTCCACAAAAGCCTGTGCACTGGCTTCTTGGGGAGGAGCTGGCTGAGACTACTGGGAAACACATTGAAGAGATTCCTGCTGTTGGAAGCGCTGTCAACAGGAAATGGTCAATAGATGGCCCTAAATCCACTGAGCTTGCAGAAGGGTACTGCTGCAATAGTCTGGACATGCCAGGCTGTCCATTCCCTTGAAGACTAAAAGACTCCTTCTGTTCTAAAAGCAGGAGTAATTGAAGAAAAAAGGAGTCTCTGCCTAAATAGGATGTATTCAAATTACCCATACCTGGGAATTTACACTAATCATACCAAAAAAAGAAAAAAAGGAACTATTACAGTGTCTGGTGTCAGCTGAGCTGTAAATCTCTTCAATAGGTGCTTACTGTCATGGGCTGGTAGACACTGATCATAATGGCCTCTAGCCATCATCCCTACCAACACACACTCCATGTCTTCCTAGTTTGGCCCCAAGTTCCTTCAAGCCACTGGATCTCTTTCAACACTCTGCACCTCTACTGGATCCTTTCTCTCACCTCTGGGGTACTCAGGACTCCGTGAGGAGGTCCTCAGAGCTATTAGCTCAGGCTGGTCTGCTATGCCAGCACCACGATAACCAGGGAGCTTCTGACACGCTTCCAGTCTCCCCTGGCTACACTTCGGTACCCTGGGATATCATGCACCAATTCCCTTCTGTTTGGGAGGTGGGAGTGAGGAGACACAGGGCAGGATTTGGGTCTCTCATTAACTCTTACCTCATCATACATTCTGTTGATTTTGGCACAATCTCTCTGCCTTGTTATCCTCAGGACTTTGGACTCTGATATCCAAAGCCAAGCTTTTGAATTGTAAAGTACCTTATCTGTCTCAAGCACTTGGCTTTCAAGACTTTTGTTTCTGCTATGAGTTTCAAAATCCATCCATCAATCCAACTGACGTCCCCTTTCTAATCTATATTTGCCCTCCCTCTGCAGGCAGTGGATAAATAAAATTATATTGGGCAGAAGGGAAATGGGATCCAAGCCGCCCAGTGGAGGAGCAGGAAAGTGGGGTCAAGAACTCTGACTAATGTATCTCAAAATATTGTGTGTTGGATATGCCTTCTGGAATGCTGGTAGTTTCCTGCTATTTTGAGGTTACTCTAACAATTGTTATAGCTACATTTACGTAGCACTTACTATGTGCCAGCACCTTAGATGACTTTATCCTCTAACCCTCACAAAACACTGAGTTGAAGCTTTTATCTCCTCTCACAGATAAGGAAAGGGAATCTTGGATACATTTATTAACCTACCTAAGTTCATCCAGGTAGTAGATGGTGGAGCCAGGCACTATGTTAGTACCGGGGTGTACAAAGACTAATCATACAGAGATGAATAATACAAAGATGAATCACCAACCGGTTTAGACATCAGATACTCAAATGGATCCTGATAGTGCATGTCGCTAGGACTGTTCTTGAGATTCACATACAAAGCAGAGGCGTTTGACTAAGGATTACGGAAGACTTCCTAAAGAGATTAACACCTGAGTTGATTCAAGAAGGATAAGCAGGAAAGTTATACAAGTGAAAGGAACAGGAAAGGAGGAAAAGAAACAGTATTTAGGTCCCAAGAAAGAACATCAACAAAAGCACAGAGGCAAGCTGAAACAGAATGGTTTGCTCCCTGTTTAGGACTATTTCTCCAGTTATCTAGCGCTGTGTAACAAGCCACCTGAAAACTTAGCGTCTTGGAACAGTTATTTGCAGTTATTTTGCTTATGAACCTGCAATTTGGACAGGGCTTTGTTGGGAACCCTCATCTCTGCTCTACCCGGCATCATCTGGGAGAGCTCAAAGGTGGGGCTAGAATCAACTGAAGGCTCACTCATATGTGAGTTGATAATGGCAGTAGGCTGAGACCTTAGCTGGGTCTGTGGGTTCATAAACCTACTCCTGGGTGTGGCTTGAGCTTCCTCACAACATGGTAGCTTGATTGCAAGGGTGAGCATCCAGAGAGAGAGTAAACCAGGTGGAAGTCTTGTCACATTTTTTATCTAACCTTGTAAATCACAGTGTCACTTTCCCCACATTCTCTTTGCCAAGACAGCCACAAAATGCCACCCAATTTCAGAAAGAGAAGCAAAGCCCTCAACCCTTGAGGGGTGTATGGCAAGGTTTTAGAAGAGAATGTGGATTTGGAAATATGGGTGTAATCATTTTCTAAATATACAATCTGACACCACTCTAAACCCGAAAGAACAATATAAAATACAAATAGCCACCTCCCATAACAATGCTGTCTTTCCTGATCTAATCACACTATTAGCCACATGAGATCATTAACTGACTCACTGCTTACTAGGAGGGGGTTACCAGCACAAAGCCAAGAAAAGAATTGAAATCATTCACAAGGCATCAACACGACTTACCCACACAGTAGGCTGGCCACAGGGAAATTCGGTCATCACTGCACAAAATGCTTGTTGTGTTCTCTTGGCCACACAGAAAACAACACATTCACGAACCGTCTGCAACAAAGACTGAGCTAAAAATTGTGTCCAAAGGCTTGAATTTCATTCTTGCAACTAAAAGACCATTTCAAGCCATTTGTTCCAGACTGCCATGATGGCTTTATTTCTCTAGGCAATAATCTATATGCCTTGACCAAGAAGCCCTAATGACTGTGCAGAGTGATTTCAGGAAGGGTCTTATGGTTTGTAGAAATGTTCTCAGAATGGCTTGAATGCTTTTAGCTTCGTCTCACAAACTGGGTACAGCAATCATAGCCCCATGCCATTTATTTGTAACAGTGCAACTGGAAGACCCTGTTGTTTCCATATCCTACAAGGGCCCAGAGTGCAAGTGGCTCAGTACTGCACGTGATGCTAATAAAATGTACAGTTCCTGTTCTCCGGCACCTCGGAATGAAGCTAAAACGATTAGAGCGCTCCTATCTTAAAGAATTTATCTCTGAATTTTCAGCTTCTTAACACCTCACCCCACCACACCCAGCCACCCACGGGATCATCAGAAACACAGAGTAGAGAAGCAATGACGTTTACAATCTCCCATAGTGATGAGAGAAGAAATAACCGTGAGCAAACGCAGGCATGGGCCCTGTTACCAAGGAATTTACATTTTAGTCGGAGGAACAGAAATTAATCAAATAGTCACACACATATTGGATATAACTGAGAAGGGAAAATGCTATGAGGGAAAAGCACCTAGGAGAGCATATTATAAGGAACCTGACTACGCGTGGGGAAGGCTTCTCTGAGGCCCTGACGGTGGGGCGGGGGCTGAAGACCGAGTCTCAGCTAACACGCGGCGCAGTCCGGGCTGAGAAGGGGAAGGGGACGGAGGGAGTCCAGGCAGAGAGAACAAAATGAGCAGGGCCTCACAGCACGGAGCAGGGTGAGCTCAAGGAGTGAGATGTTTGCAAGTGTGGGACTGGGTGACACTGGGGGACATCTGTCCTAAGGACGAGGAGAAGCCATGAACCAGCTGGGAGCCTCTAGATCCTGAAGTTCAGTCCAGTCAGGCTCACAGAATTTCCGCCCAGGGAAACGGAGTGAGAGCCGCGCCGTCGTTTTCCTGTCGACCCTGCTCGCCTTCTGCCAGAGCCTGGCAGTCGGACACCAGCGGGGTTAGCGACGCACGTTCCCCTCACCTGCACCTCCTCTCCGGCTCCTTCCATCCCCCGCACCGCGGTGGAGGAGTCCGCCTCGCCCAGGCCCGGGGCCGCGGCGGCGCTGGCGGGAAAGCGGCCGCCGGAAGCGAGCGGCCGCCGGCAGGAGGACCCGGATCTTGACGCCCACGCGGCTGAGGAGCCAGGCTCCCGCGGTCACCACAAGGCCCCGGCCGTGGACCTCCGCCACCGGCAGGTCGTCTTCCTCTTCGGTTTCTGCGTCATCTTGGTCCTTGGCAGCAAGCACCTTTGTGGCTTCTCTGCCTGACGACAGATGCTGGCGTGGGCTGGCCGGAAGCTGACAGGCTGGAGAAACGCCGAGAGGCCGGTGGCCTCGCGACCGTGGACTCCAGCTGCTTCGACCCGGCGACATCAGCGGCTGGACAGGGATGCGGACTGCCCCGTGCCAAGTGGGACCCAGGAGGAGCCCCCTTCGCCACCCCTGGGCGCCATCCTGCGCTCTCCTCAGGGCACCTCGTTGAAGGCCTAGAAGTCTGAAAGGTCTTTTTTCTTCAGCCTTTCAGAACTTTATTAGGTGGCGTTTGGGCAAAAGAGAAAACCCCTGAAACAGCCGCTCAGCTGTTCCGACGACTGGAAGAGAGAAGCAGCCTTTGTTGGCTGACGTTCTCTCACTGAGGTGAAAGCATGAGCTTTGACTTGTTTTTAAGGGAAACAAACTGGCTGAACATCTCGAGTACAAATTCAGGTTATTTTAAAAACGGCCAACCAGAGGAAAGCAGGTCTTTGGGGCAGAATCAGAGCAGAAGCAGAAGCCCCTGCTCTATCTGAAGGCAAACAGGAGCCAGTTCTCTGTTGAGTGCGGGGGTGGGGGTGGGGGTGTCTCTGCGGTCTCCAGATCGAGATTTGATGGGGAGGGAACATGAAAAATGACGAAAGGACCAGGATACAGGAATTACACAGGGAAGAAAGCTCAGATGATGGTTTACAAGAGAGCGAGATAAGTACCTGACCCCAGTACCCAATCAGTTCATCTTCCTACAGTGGCATTCTTTTAGAGGCAAATTTAGAAGGGAGGGTGAGTTCCAAGGCTCCTCTTTGTCATTTCTGCTCCTATACTATGTGTGTCCTACGCAGCCTGCTCCCACTCTTCCCCAAATGAATCTTCCACTTCATCTGAACTCTGTATTTATTTCCACCTCCATGCTTGTGCTCGTGTCATTCCTCCTCCCTGGAATGATCCTGCTCTCTTCCTACCCTGGCCGTTGCTTACTCACCCATTAGAACACCCCACTACATCCAGCCACCCACGGGATCATCAGAAACACAGAGTAGAGAAGCAATGACGTTTACAATCTCCCATAGTGATGAGAGAAGAAATAACGGTGAGCAAAGTCCCACATCTGGGTCCCACATCTGTGGAAGCTTCCCGGTGCGCTCCGGTTTACATTTACTTCTCTCTCTCAGATCTTATAGCCCCTGTTACCTCTACCCTTCGTATTTGCAACTAGTCACAAATGAATGCACACTCTTGTGACATTCTGTAGCTATTCACAAAGGTCTTGTCTCTTCCAAGGAAAACACAAGTTCCTTGTCAGGAGTCATGTGTTTAATCTCTTGATTAACATTAGAGTTCTCTTGAGAGTGGGCAATTCCATTTCATAGCCAACGCTGTCATCTAGTGGTGGCAAAGTTGCATGGCTTCTTCTGACTTTTTAGTGGCTGGACAAGGCGTTTATAAAGGGAATGTTATAGATTATTCAATGAACCCAAATTATTCCAATTACACTTGCTCATGAAGGGATTTCAAATGCTTATTTTTGTGCTCTGCCATCCCAGTGCCTTCCCCACCCTCCTGTGGTCCAGAGACCCGCAAACTGCTGGTAAGGGGTCCCTGCATGAGCTCTTGCAAACCACAGCTTCTCTTTCCCTTAGGAAGATCACCAGAAGCTTTCATGGTGATTGTGTGATTTTTAATTCTCTGCTTCCTGTTAAGATAGAGTTTTATGTTCGTAAATATTTATTTTGGAAATAAAATATGTAATTTAGGAAGAAATTTGAGATGATAAATATGATACCCAGAGTAGAAACTCATTTCAAAGCCAAATGGGAGGAAAGCATTGTGGTACAGAGGAACGCTTGCGGACTTTGGCTCCTGAGGGACTTGGGATCAACTGCCAGGTCTTCTCACTAAAGTCACGTGGTAGTTGTGACAGACTAACAAATCTGGAACTCAACTTTCTCATCCCAGCCAGACAATGAAGATGATATATGCCTTGCCAGGCTGCTTTGGGGGGGATTAAATAGAATCGTGTACCATAACATTTTGGCCCAGAATAGGTAGACAATAAAAGAGAGCTATTATCATTGTTTACATTTTACTAAAAATAATTGTCATCATGTTTTCAATATGATATTTTAGGAAACCAAAATCGTGTTTTTCAAGTTTGGGAATATCAGCAACTAACTTTGATTCTGAATAAAATTACCTCATCTCTCTTGGTTTCAGATGCTTAAGTTGTAAAATAATGAGTTTGGGGAAAGTATATTAAATCTCTGAAAATAAAATAGGAACTCTAATCTACCACAGACATCAAAATTTGAATAGTAATGAAAGGTTTAGAAGAACAAGACCAGACTGAAATTATCTTTATAAAGACAACTTGAAAAATGACCTCTTTAACTCAAGTTATAAATTGTGAAGATGACCTGGATTTGTGGAGGGAGAAAAAAGCGCTAGGAATAAATACATAAACAAATTTATCGCAAGAAAATACTGTGAAGTACTGATTTGCGTGACCCCCCCGTGGGCAAAATATGAATCGCAATCACCCTTTCAAAATGTTTGTACTTTTTTTGGAAAGCATCATCTGAGTCTTCTAAGTTTTACCTGAACCCTAAGATAAAGCAAGAACTTGTTTCAGAAGTTTACATTTTTTGCTTATTATTTGGAACTTTGCAAACTTTTTTCCATGTAAGGAATGTTATATATGGTGGTTTATTTCCCAGTCGATCCCACAAGTTAATGTCACAGTTAGGCCTTGACTATATAACCCCACAAATAGTACAAGCCCCAGTAGCAACTATTGTCAGTGTTGTTTCTTTGGGAATGTCAAAGAACAATAGAATTTCTGGGTTGGAAGAAATTGAATGGCATTCTGGTAAAGTTCTGACCAATGGTCTCCAAACCTGGCCACACATCTCAGAACCAAGGGAGCTTTTAGGAAATGCATACTTCTGGGCCTTATGCCAGAGATTCTGATTCAGAAGAACTGAGATAGGGGCCGGCCCGGTGGCGAAGCAGTTAAGTTCGCATGTTCTGCTTCTTGGCAGCCCAGGACTCGCCGGTGTGGATGCCAGGTGCTGACATGGCACCACTTGGCACGCCATGCTGTGGTAGGCATCTCACATATAAAGTAGAGGAAGATGGGCATGGATGTTAGCTCAGGGCCAGGCTTCCTCAGCAAAAAGAGGAGTACTGGCAGTAGTTAGCTCAGGGCTAATCTTCCTCAAAAAAAAAAGAACTGAGATAGAGTTCTAGATTTTGTATTTTAAAAGCTCCTCAGGAGATGTAAAAGTGGGCAGGGAATCCCTGAGCTATAGGATCCTTTTAAGCGACAAAATTCTGCAACCTGTAGATAATAACTTCCCCTTTTTTGCAGGCAGGTAGGATTTTTGTTGTATTGCTTATGTAACTTTGTTTGAAACTTTATTATTTGTATCTTAATCTCCCTGGGTTTAACTAGAGAAGAATAACAGGTACTGATTTGCTCATAAGAAAGTCATGATGAAATTTTGCTCAGGTGGAGAAAGAGATGAGTGACAGAAAATTAAAAAGGAAAAATGCTTAAAGTGACCATGTAGCACTGAGTGCAGAAAATAACAGTGATGAAGGCATCCATTCATTCTGTGATCGCAGGCTCTGGCTTAACATGTAATATTTCTTTGAAGCCTCAGGATAGCCTTATGAAGGAGGAAATATTATACATATCTTAATCTGGGTGCCAGAAAAGTTAAGTCACACAGAAATGGTAAAGCAAGATTCACACTCATCTCTCTAACTTTAAGGCACAGGATCTCAGAGATGTCAGTGTCTGCTGTGCCTTCCAGGAAATTCCACCAGAGGCCACAAATAAAGGAGGGGAAGTGGATAGTAACTAGAGGGTCAAGGAAGCAGTATTTTGTACGTTGTAACACCTCCCAGGTGGCAACATTTCAGTGGTCTGCCCTCCTTGTTGTGCCCCAGCTGCCTTTGTTTGCCCCACCTACAGACCTCCCTTTCTGAAGCTGTCACTGTGAAGGCAACACTCTTATTTATGACCACAAATGTTGCCACGCTTTATCATTTACAGTGTGCAGTCACAGCTATCTCATTTACTATCCTCAAAAAACAGTATTCAACAAAGGCAGAAGCCAAGATTAAAGTGACTGGTCTAAAGCAGGGTTTCCAAACCTAAGTATTATTGGGCTGGATGATTTTTGTTGCAGGGCTGTGTCCTGTGTGTTGCCCGATGTTTAGCAACATTCATGGATACACCCATTAGATGCACCACCTCTTCCAACTGTAACACCAAACATGTCTCCAGACATTGTCAGATGTCCTCTGGGGGACAAAATCACCCCTAGTTCAGAACCACTGGCCTGAAGTGATGCAGCGAACAGGTAGAAGATACTCTCTGACCCACAGCTTCTGGCTACAAATGAATGCAAGTTCCATTGCATCCCTGAAGCCTCCCTGGAATCATGAAATTTTGGAGCCCAGAGCTTTTAGTGACGTCCAGGAAATTATTTTGCTGATGAGCAAGCCAAAGCACAGAGAAGTGACGTGACTATCACAATTTTATGTCTGAAAACCATTTAAAAATAATCTTTAGCATTCCTAAGAGTCTTGTGAAGAGTCACCTTACTGATATGCCTCATACGCTGAGGGCACCTCTTGTCCTGTAGCCACAACTGTTAGCCGTCGTATCTCTCACAAAAGAGTGCTTCTGTCATACCAGTCTTTGGATCATGAATCTCCTTCACCCTCCACTGCAAGCTCTCCACAGGGTCTAGCAGTGCTGACTGAGTTATCAAATTACAACAGTGAGTTAATGGCATTGATTCCTGTGGATGATCTTCCTGAAATCAAGGCTTGTAGACACAAGGGTGTTATAACAATGGAGAAGCCAAGTTCATTCGCAGAGAGAGAAAATTTCACTGGAACAGCAGACTCGTCCAAGAGATGTTGTCAGGTCCCCCACTGTCATTGCCTGGCTCACAGAATGCCTATGGCTGAAGCTTATCTAGTCCCTCCCTTTCCCCATAATCGTTTTTGCCCCTTGCTAAGATCAAAAAAAGGATCTGTTCTTATCATTTTAACGTCCAATTAGCCTTTACCAGAGTTGGAGCAACTTGAAGGCAAAGACTGTCCTTGGTTTATTCTCTGCTACGTCCTCAGTAACTAACACAAACTAGGTGGCCAATAAATAGTTATTAGACAACTTAAAAAGAAAAATCAGGGCTTCCTGATTTCATGATCCCAGTGTCCACCAAGCAATTTGTTTCTCTGGTCAACTTTCAAAATTCTGCCTCTTTGTCCTTACCCGGGAGAACCTACAGGAGTGATCATCCTCATCTGGTGAGCACCTTGGGGTTTCCAAGCACGAGTGCTCTGGCCTACCAGAGTTCCACATCTTCTGGTAGGGTGAGACTTGGAAAAGACAATTCTAATCCTTGAGTCTGTCTGTACCTGAAGCCAGCAAACCCCTAAGACTTTGTTTTCTGATTAAGCTATTTGGCATTGGATTTGTCACTTGTAACCTAAAGAGTCCTAACTAATACACTCCTCTCAAGGATATTCAACTGTGTTGTTGTTGGTTTTTAATGCATAAAATTGGAAACATAAACCAAGTGGGTAACCTTGTTCATACTACCAGTGCTGAAACAACTCATGCTATACCACTGCTACCCTTCATGTTGAGGCCTTTCAGTCACCCTCCTAAGTTTCTGTGGTACTAGAAGCCAGACTTCCAAGGAACATAAGATCTATCATAAGTGTTCCAGGAAGGTAAAAGGAAAACCACCTTTCTGACTGGATGGGGACATTTGGAAAATGGGGGAATGCTGTGCTCAAAGGCCTCCTTCTATGCTTTCTCTGACTCCTCCTTCCTGTCCCTTTTGTCTACATTCTGATCCCTTCTACTCCACAGCTGGGCCCTTTACCCAGTTCCACTTTTTTCAGAGGTTCTTTGGACAGCTTTAGCTCTGTGTGGGAGAGGTTTCCTTTCATCAAGAAACCAATGGAATCTTAGCTCACCCCTTGCCTCCGTGCCCATGGTGGCAACTGTTGAGATGCGCACTTCCTCAGGTTTACAGCTTTCTCAGGTCTCCTCTGTCCTTAACTCATGATGTTCAAGTCTTTGCTGTTCCAAGGAAAAAACTAATTATTACTTCTGTTTGGCCACACAGAATTTCAGAACAGATGAACCTGGATGCCAAATGTTGCTATAGAATTTAATGTTTTTCTTGCTTTAAATGAAAAACGCATTATAATACTTATTGTATTAGGAATGTAAAGCTATTGTTTTAAAAAGTGCCCTTTAACTCCTTGAGAAGTGATAGAACATTAACACATTACCTCAGAATGGTGCTGGTATATAGGAAACCACCCACCCACACATGCTACAAGTACATCTAACGTATGAGTTAAGAATCTGTCCTGTTTTATAGCAACCTCACAAGAACTTCCTCTGTATTAATCATGTTTGTTATTTTCTGTATTTTCTGTTGCCTTGACATATTAGGGCCTTGCTGACCCTGGAGGGTCTCCCCTTCCTAGGATTAGCTAATTCCTAGAGTTGGCAAATATCCAGAGTGCTCCTTTCATATGCAAACAGAGCGAAATCTGAGCCCATACCCTCAACCTTCTCCTTTTTTAAGCTATCACATGCTGAGCAAGCCACTATCTCCCTCCTTTAATCACCCCAAGGTCAGGTACCAGACAACTAGAAACAGCCCCTACACTCCAGAGTCCACTGAAATTATTCAAACTAACCAATTTTAAGCCTGCTTATCCTGCTTTGCCTTGCTTTTCCCACAGAAACCACCAAAAAGGCTCTTGCACATAGTTTCCCCTGCTTCCTCTGCCTCCTGGCCAAGCCTGGTGCTTCCAGGAGTCGCCTTGCATGGAGTGGCACTGCATGGAGTGGCATGCCTCCTGTTTCCAGGGATCTGTGAGTATAAACTTCTTCCTTCATGACAGTCATTTTCATGTCTGTATGTCTTACCACACCTGATTGAACAAATCCTGGGTGCCTTTTAAAACACCCCCCAATCCTACTAACTATTTACCAAAATAGCTTCTATTAATAAATATATTATTAATCTAATATTTTTGACACTGTTCAGAGGTTTCCTTGAGATACATTTTTCTTAAGTGAGACTCCATTGAGGCTACTTTGCAATGAATCACTTCCGTGTTCTTTAGAAAAAACTTAGTACTGATGAAAGTCCATTACGTTGAATGAGTAGTCTACAAAAGTCTCTATAATCTGTTTTTGATATGAATAAAATACCATGAGTCTTCTAAGGAAAAGTAACTTTTCCTCTTGTGGATTAGAAATGATTTCAGAAACCTTTATACAGCTCAAAGCGAAAGTCTTTGCTTCTAACAACTTGCGTAATGGTTCATTTAGATCCAGTGGTTTAATCTTGTAATTTATTTACAGAAGGAGCTATTAACAAGCAAGTGGCCCCCACATATGACTAGCTGGTGCTTCCTTACCTGGAGGAAATTAATCTTGTGACCAATTATACCTTTTCTTTTAATTGATGTTTAAATGAGAATGGAGTTGATGGCCTGTTGGTGGACAAAATACATTTATGAATGCCTGGCTGCCTGGCTGGGAGATTTTACACACAAGAGCTACATTAATGTACTCTTTCATAATTCATATTATGAAATTAAAACATTATTGTTCCAGAGAAGTTATTTTTCCTCCATTTAGAAGAGGAACTTTAAAAATTCTGTAAATAAAAACAACCAGGGATAGAGCCAGAGTGCCCATTACTTTATGCAATCTCAAACTCTAATTTGAATAAAATCACTTGTAGAGCTTGTTAAAAATGTGTGTTCATGGACCACACTCAGTTCTCTGAGAAGAGGCTCAAGAATCTGCATTTTTATCAAGCACTCTATCCTGACACGGGATTCCAAGAATCACAATTTAATAAACACAGAGAAACCACTGGCCTACTTTACCTGCTTCTCAAGACTCATTGTTGAGCCATGTGTGCAGTCAGCTGTCATCTTTTGGGTCCTAAAGTATCTCCCAATAGCAGCTTCTCTCTAAACATTGGGCCGATACTATAAATTTCATGTATATATTATGTGAACATTCGTAGATAGATATATAGATCTAGATATAGATATATTGTTAATATCCCCTCATTAGGGTTCCAGGCATAAATAGGTAATAACTCCAGCTCAGTCACTTATTGACTGCCCAAGTCAGGGCAAGTTAAACACTCTGAGTCTCAGTCTCCTCATCTTTAAAATGGGATTACAATGCTGCTTCACAGAATTATGGTGAGGATTAAGGGAACAATTGTATATAATGCATTTACTCCAGTATCTAGCAAAGAGTAAGGATATAAGTGGAGGCAGTACAACCCATTGATGCCTTACATTTGTAAAGAAATTGCTATATAGTTTCCAGAGCTCTGTCATGCACATCATTTCCTTATATCCTCACAATGTGCATGTGAGGTAGAGGGTAGAAGATACTGTTCCAATTTACAAATGAGGTTCAATCTGAGTCTGCCCCCACGAGCATTTGATCTCAGACTCAGTGGAAAACAAATGATTGTCAAAGAAGCTGAGAGGGTAGGAGTTTCTTTCGCCTTTTGAAGCCAAGGAAATAGTCTGCCCCAGAATGCTTCTGTAAACTTTGGAGCTCATAATAAGTTTCAAATTTGTAGGATGGCGCAGTGGTTAAGAGCATAGGTTTTGAATAGACAAATTTGTCTCTGCCACTTTAATAGTTGTATTAACTTGACAGTGTTATTTAACTCTTCTAAGCCTCAATTGCTTCTTGTAAAAATGGGAGTAAAAGTGAAGATAGGGTGGTGAGCCCCTAGGCAGCTTGCCTAAGCTTAGAAGCTGGGCCCTCATGGCCTTGACATGACACCAAATTGACAAACGTGTTCATCAAACAGCCGCTCAGATTGTCAGCTCCTACTGCTGCCACACAAGGCTGTGTGGCCTTGACCTTCTTTTCTGCCTTCTCTGGACCTCAGTAAGCCCACCTGTAGAAAGGCCATACAGATCCCTACCAGGTCAGGGTGTCAGACACCAGCCCATGCCTGGCAGGTCACTTCTTTCAACCTCCATCTCCTTACCTATAAAATGGGGCTCCACCTAGTGACTACCTCATGCAGTCGTGAGGACTTCAGGGTCCTGATTGGGTACTTATCAAGGTGCCCCTGACTCGGGTGGCTTCATCATGGGTGCCCTGGTTATTCTCCAGTGGCATTTGAAGCCCCAGGGACACTGTGGCCTTGCTGGAAGTGGATTCCTAAGTCACGTCTCTGCGGCTTCTCCCTGAAGTTGGCATGAGTGAGGGGAGTGCCAGGCTGTAAATGCTGGCCTAGGAGGGCCTGTCTGCAGGAAACAGGGCCAGGCACAGTGTTTCCAGACTGAAGTCAAGGGAGGATTCACAGGGAAAGCACCTTCTCCAAGCCCCAGGCCAGGCAGGCATAATCCAGCTGGCCAAGTGCCCCTTACCACCCGCCAGCCTTGACAGGAGGCCACCCATCGTGGAGTGGGCTCCTTTGTGCTGCTGTGGGCGCTCCTCGTGGATCAGCAAAGATGATATTTTAAAATCCCATGTGTATGCAGATAGCAGGCTGTTCCGCTTCTAATGAAGGAAGAGGTGGGTTTATTTACATCTCCTGGGTCTTTCTCTGATGAAACCCTTTAAGATTTCTGTGGGTCCCCAAGAAGCCGACAGATCTCTACAGCACCAAGAGGAGGTTGCCTTTGAAGTTCTTGACACGCCAGCCTGTGATCCGCAGACCTCCAGGCTTGGGAAGCTCTCTAGGCCCAGGTCGGCACAGGCCTCAAGGGCAGAGTCCTGTCTGCAGCAGCCCTCAGGAGCCCCTCAACAATCCCTGTGTGTCTCTGCCTGAGAGAACAGCCATCTTGGTTCTGGGCTGGGCCTGCTGCCCTGGGTCACCCCCACGCAGACCCCTGCCTGGGCCCCCAGACCACTTGTTCCCCTGCCTGGGACTCCCCTGCGTCATCTGGGAGACAATGGGCAAAGCCCCCAACAGCTGCTCTTTTCCAGCTCTTCCAGGGTGGTCTCTTCGGTCCCCTGCCCCCCTCCCAGTGAGGGGCCCAGAGCCCAACACGGGACTTTGGGTGGGGTGGGGAGGGCAAAGGACGTGGACAAGATGGTTTGTGCTGCTTCCCTCCTGGAGGGAGTCTCGGCAGCACACACGAAGAACAGGAATGTTCACATGGAGATTTACCTTTTTCACTTGAGGTCTGTAAGGGGATGGGGAGCGCACAGTCTTCCAGCTGGGAGGGAAGCAAGGAGACTTGTTCAGCTGCTCACACGGCCCTCCCACCTGCGTTCACTAGGAGATGGAGCTGAGTGGCAGGCCAGATGTGAGCAGGGGAGCAGAATGTGAGATGCCTCAGGGACAGCAGGCCTGATTCAGAGGAGGGCAGGGAGGGCTGACTCAGCCTGGGGAACAAAGCTCCCAAACCTTAGTGGCTTAAAACAGTGGTTTTCCTCTATTATCTCTCACAGCTCTGTGGCTCGGGACAGCCATGGCTCTGCAACAGCTGGGGCACCAGCTGGAAGACTCGAAGGCTTGGAGTGACTCAGTGCTGGGACTGGGTCATCTGGAGGCTTTGCCACTCCTGTGTCTCACTGACAATGCTGTTGTCATCTTGGGATCTAGCTGAGACTGTTGGCTAGAACACCCACCCCATGTGGCATGGGCTTCCTCACAGCATGGTGCCTAGATTCCTAGGGTGAGGGTCCCAAGACAGACAGACAAAGACAGAGAGACAGAGAGGGGAAGAAGAGAGACAGAAAGAGACAGAAAGACAGAGACAGAGGTAGATGGACAGAGAGAGGGAGAAGAGAGAGAGACAGAAACAGAGAGAAATAAAGGGAGACAGACAGAGGGAGACAGAGAGACAGAGACAAAGGGAGAGAGATAGGGAGAAACAGAGAGACAGACAGAGGGAAACACAGAGAGACAGAGACAGAAAGAGACAAAGGGAGACAGAGAGACAGAGAGAGGGGGAGAAGAGAGAGAAACAGAGACAGAGGGAGACAGAGACAGAGAAACAGAGAGATAAAGGGAGACAGAGAGAGAAAAAGAGAGGCAGAGAGACAGAATCATGTAGTATGTAACCTTTTGGGATTGGCTCTCCTGACTTTGGATAATGGCCTTGGGATCCAGCCAAGCTGTTGTGTATGTCAATAAATCATTCCTTCTTACTGCTGAGTAGCATTCTATGGCGTGGAAGGACCACAGTTTGTTGAAGGGCCTCTGAGTTGTTTCCAGTTTTTGGTATTACAAATAAAGCTGCTGTGGGGGCCAGCCTGGTGGCATAGTGGTTAAGTTCACATGTTCTACTTCAGTGGCCTGGGGTTCACTGGTTCAGATCCCAGGTGCGGACCTACACCCTGCTTGTCAAGCCATGCTGTGGCAGGCGTCCCACATATAAAGTAGAAGAAGATGGGCACGAATGTTAGCTCAGGGCCAGTCTTCCTCAGCAAAAAGTGGAGGATTGGCAGCAGGTGTTAGCTCAGGACTATTCTTCCTCAAAAAGAAAAAGGTTAAAAACAAATAAAGCTGCTGTGAACATTTGTTTAGAGGCTTTTGTATAAACATAGCTTGTCATTTCTTGGGGGAGTGTGCCCAGGAGTTTGGTTGCTGGTTAGTCTGGTAGTTGCATGTTTAGTTTTATAAGAAACTGCCAAACGCTTTTCCAGAGTGGCTGCACCGTTTTACATTCCTGCCGCCTTCTCTCCAGCATTTGGCATTACACTGTTTTTTATTTTCCTGCTTACCATAGGTGTGTGGTGGTATCTCATCATAGTCTTAATCTGCATTTCTCTAATGCTAATGATGTGGAACATTTTCATGTGCTTATGTGTCATCTGTATATCTCATTAGGTGAAGTGTCCCTTCATGTCTCTGGCATCTTCTA